CATAAATGGCAGAAGGATTTTTTGAGACCTTTATGATATGTTGACTGTAGTAATTTTCCTCTACAGTAAGAATCGTTACCTTCTGGAAAACGGAAATCTCTTAAAGCTTGAGCTGTTAATGTTTTTGAGGGGAGAAACAAAGATTTTAAGTTAAATTCCCATTGAATTTGTCAATTTTAAATGAAGCTCATTCATGTAATACTTTCAACAAATGACTCTTCTAAAGGCATAAATATTTGATCAACCAGAAAATTTTTTTTAATGTCAACAAACCGCCTGCAACCACTACGTCCGCTCTGACATCATTGCTTAATTCCCTGCTAGAAATAAATAAACAACAATTAAGCCACAAGGGACATCACGTAATGAGCAGAATCAACACATTTAAGCTTTTCAGATGTTTGGGGTTGAAAAGTTCAGAATAAACAAACAAACCGAGATGATGTCATCGCCGAGGTTGCTGATCCCGGCCTGAAGCTAGTCGTCGTAATAAAAATGAGTCAAAGCTCAGAAATTTGAGTTTGAGGGAGATGGGTGATGGCAGTGTGAAAACTGTTGACTTCTAGTATTGCTGCCAGAAATCCTAGCATTCATAGGACTTGACCAATTTGTTGCAGTCTGTTGTGTTTGTCAAAATGTCTTGCTTGGATAAACAAAATGGCCAATGGCATGAAGAAATGAGTGGTCTGTGAATGTTAGTAGTCAAACAATGTGGGTTTTTTAAGGGCTTATACAAATATAGAGAACACAATATTTTTACTTATTATTTTTGTTATGAATAAGCAAAAAAAAAAAGAAAAGCATATTGGGTAAGGTTTCTTTTAAGGATGCTTAATCTATAAATAAATAAAAATAAATGCTGTTCTTTTCAAATGATCCAGAAACAGTATTGTTTTCACAGAAATATTTTCACAGATAAATGTAGCTGCTCAACTGTTTTTAGCATTGTTAATAATAATAATAATAATAATAATGTTTCCATAAATTACATTCAAAATAATAACTTGTAAAATAAATTAAAACTGAAAACAGTTTAAATTGTAATAATATTTTACAATATTATTTTTACTGTATTTTTTTACTGTATTAAGAAATATAGCCTTGGTGCAAGACTTCTTTCAAAAACATAAAATAAATCTTACTGACCCACAAATCAAAGGTAGTATATGAGAATTTTGGGGTATTTCTAGTAAAAATAACTATATTGTGAATGATACTGTTACCATGATATAACATTACTCATACTGTGATAAAAGATTTTGGTCATACCACCCACACCTAGTGTGAAAATTTGTCTCTGGCTGGTAGGGAAGATCATTTAAATTCATTTAATGCCACTTTTC